TTTGAGACAGAGTCTTGCTCTGTTCCTGGACTATAGCAGTGCAATCTTGGCTCACTGCAACCTCCAACTCCTGGGTTCAAACGATTCTCCTGCCTCAGCCTCCTGAGTAGCTGGGGCTACAGGTGTGCCATCTTGCCTGGAGAACTTCTGCAATTTTAGTTGAGATGGGGTTTCACCATGTTGGCCAGGCTGGTCTCAAACTCCTGGCCTCAAACGATCTGCCCACCTCGGCCTCAAAGTGCTGGGATTACAGGTGTGAGCCACCACACCCAGCCCCCATATTTTTTTTTTAAGACAAGGTCTTGCTCCATTGCCCAGGCAGGAGTACAGTTGTCTGATCTTTGTGCACTGCAGCCTCAAACTCCTGGGCACAAGGGATCCCTCTGCCTCAGCCTCCCAAGTAACCAGGACTCCAAGCATGCGTCTCCACACCCAACTAATATTTTAAGATTTTGTAGAGACGGAGTCTCACTATGTTGCCCAGATTGGTCTTGAACTCCTGGCCTCAAGCCATCCTCCCACCTTGGCCTCCCAAAATGCTGGGATTACAGGCGCAAGCCCCACATTTTTTATGGTCCCACATATTTTATAGTTAAAGTTTCTCTCAGCTTCACAACTTATCACCAGCACAGTAACCCCGTCTTGTGCAAGGTTTTGTTTCCTGAGGTTTCAGTTGCCCATGGTCAACCAGAGTCTGAAGATATTAAAGGGAAAATTCCAGAAATCAACAATTCGTTAAGTTCTACATTGCATGCTGATCTGAGTATCGTGATGAAGTTTGGCAGTGCCCCACTCCACCCCACCCTGTCCCACCGGGGGCGTGAATCGTCCCTTTGTCCAGCATCGTCACTACCTGCCCATTAGTCAACTTAGTAGTTGTCTTGGTTATCAGAACAAAAAAAAAACATAGTCTAAATAGGATTCCATACTATCCAGTTTCAGGCACCCATTGAGGGTCTTGAAATGTGTCCCTCGAGGATAAGGGGGGACTACTGTAGGGTCATAACATTCTAGGATTGCTGTCAAATGTAGAAGAACCTCTGTCAAGTTTCTTTCATATCAGAGCTGTAAGATTTCTGGCTTGTTATGTTTCCTTCATAACTAATCTTAAAACCTTTTTGAACTGATGCCATCTATTACACCCTTTTTGTAGTGGTATATTTTGACTTTGGTTATTTTCATCCATGTCAGCATTCCGTGACAACTTCTCCTTAGCTAGATCCCCCAAAATACCAGAACCACTTGGGCAGTACCCAAAAGGAGGGGAAGTGTGACAGAGGGAAGCTGGAGGGAAGTAGGCAGCATTCTTGATAAATTACAGCTAAAACATCTTACGTTGGCAAATACTACTAAAACATGTGATGCCTGAGTATGCATTTCTCAGCCCCTCCTAAGCCCCTGGAAGGCGCCTGGCAAGGGAGGGGCTCTAAGGCTTAAGCTTGTGACTTTCACAGTAAGTTTGCTCCATCCACTTCTGTCTCTCCCCAGCATGAAATCCCTACCTCACCCACACCAGATGAACATGTTCAACAGCGCCTCATTTTGTCCACCTCCACTCAAGCACTGTTTCTTACAGGAAGCCTCCAGAACAAGTTAGCTGCCCCTGCCCCACCCCATTATCTGTGTCGTGAGGCTGGAGGCCATGACTGTCTAGTTCCTTCTGTACCCTCAGTAGACTGAGCAGTGGCTGGTACATAGAATCTTAGGCTCAGAGGGCTGAAGTGAGCTGCCAGGGTCACGCAGATAGGAACTGCCAGAACTGGGGATCAGCCAGAATGAATGAACAAATGAATGAATGAACTCCAGCTTCCCAGGCTCAGTCAGGGAAAACTCATTTCTTTCTTTCTTTCTTTCTTTTTTTGAGAGAATCTCCCTCTGTCACCCAGGCTAGAATGCAGTGATGCAATCTCAGCTCACTACAACCTCCACCTTCTGGGTTCAAGCGATTCTCTTGCCTCAGCTTCCCAAGTAGCTGGGACTACAGGCACACTTCACCACTCCTGGATAATTTTTGTATTTTTAGTAGACACGGGATTTCACCATGTTGGCCAGGTTGGTCTGGAACTCCTGACCTCAAGTGATCTACCTGCCTCAGCCTTCCAAAGTGCTGGGATTACAAACGTGAGCCACTATGCTCGGCCAGAAGCCTCATTTCTTACCAGAGTCCTCGATGGCCTGCTTCCCGTCCTCCATCCTGGAAGACTCATCTGGAACCCCAAGAGGAGGTTTTCTGAGCCCTGAGGCAGAGGTCTGTCACCTGGAAAATGAGTCTAATGACTGCACTTCCCACGCAGCAGGAGAGGACTACAGATAGCATGGGATTGGAGGAAGAACTCTGGCCCTGGAGACAGCATCATCAAGCAGTAGCTTCATCTTTGCGAGCTGGGGCCTTGACAGAAGCTTTCTCCTCCTCTATACAGGCTGAGCCTGTCTCAACCCGACCCCCCACCTGCACCCCAGTCCTTTGGGGTCACCTTAAGGCTTTGGCTGATGCTTCTTTGCTGATGTCAACCAAGGTGATGGACCTGTTTGTCCTCATAAAGTAACTCTCAAACGGGCATGCACTTCTTCCTCCCTCCTCTTGCTTTGAAGGCTGGGTGGACACCTGCCACCATGGGCAGGGTGAGAGCCAGCCCCATACCTGCGAGGTCAGAAAGCAACTGTCCCTGGCCTGTGGGTGTCTCTCAGAGGGGCCAGGCCTTCCTCACCACGTGTCCCCAGCACCTAGCCTGGGACCTGGCCCAGGGGCACGCTCAGTAAACGCTGGCTGAGAATTAAGGGGGACTTTCCAGTTCCTCTCCAACTCTTTCATTTTCCTTCTTTTTCTTTTTTTGAGACAGATTCTTAGTCTGTCATCCAGGCTGGAATGCAGTGGCGTGATCTTGACTCACTACAACATCCGCCTCCTTCCTGAGTGGGTTGTGATCCTCATGTTGCTCATAGCAAAAGAGGCCAAGAATTAGAGTGATCAAACCATCCTGGTTTACCATGTGTGAGGAGTTTATTGAAATACAGAGTTTTCAGTGCTGAAAGCAAGAGTCCCAGGACAATTCCCAATGGTTAGTCACCTTACAGAACAACCGTACCAACAGGATTAGCTCTCACACACCCACCTGGGCACGCACGTGTTACACAATTACTCCCCTTTCTGTTGCTATCATAGAACCCCTGAGACTGGGTAATTGACAAAAGGAGTTTGTTTCCCACAGTTCTGGAGGTTGGGAAGTCCAAGATAGGGTGGCTGCATCTGGTCAGCTTCTGGGGAGGGCCTTGTGCTGTGTTGTAACATGGCAGAAGGCATCGTAGGGTGAGTGGAAGAGAAAGCTGAGGCAGCCAAACTCACTATTGTAATGACCTGCTCTCAATAACTAACCCACTCCTATGAGAATTAACCCACTCCTGTGACAAAGGCATTAATCCCTCCTAATGACCTAATCCCCTCTTCAAGGCCCCACCTCCCAATACCATTTCACTGGGAACCAAATTTCTACATGTGTTTTGGAGGAGACAAACCACATCCGAACCATAGCACACACACAGCATAAAATGGTTATCTCATGTTGTTTACCACAACCCCCAACCTCCAGGCCCACCTCACCAGCCCTTTTAAGAGAAATAGATGGCAAAATGGTTCAGAGAGTAGGCTCTGGAACCAGGCTCTGGAAGTTTCAGTTCCAGCATTCATTAGGTATGTGTGTTTGGACAAGTCACTTTGCCTCTGCCTCAGTTTCCTCATCTGTAAAATTGAAAGAATAACAGTAAGTTCTACTCTGTCAGGTCATTATAAGGATTGAGTTAACAGATGCAGAGCACTTAGAATGGTGCCTGTCATGGAGTAAGCCACACAGGTCACAACTCCTTAACTGAAACTCCAATGTCTCAGGATCCTGATGCATTTTGGAATTTGGGGAGTTTTGGGGTTTTGGAAAGCACATGACTTATTTAACACACTAGTGGGTGGTGGGATCTGGCTTAGCATCCCATAATGGAACACATTAATATTTCTGCAGAAAACAATATGTGAGTATTCATATATCTATTCAGATTAGGTTTTTGCTACTGAATGGGTTTTGGTATTATTTTGTTCAGAAATGTTGGGATCTCTGAAGTGTGGATAAGGCTTGTAGATGTGTGTAAGGGTTTTTATTATTATTGCAATATGCATCTGATATAACTGCCATGCAGTCGCTTCTTGAGGACAACTCTGAGCTTTTGTGCCCAAGGCCCTCCTGAGCTCTTGGAGTTTTCTAACAGGGCCTTCCTGCACCAAGAGCTCTGAACAACCTTTGAAGGCTGACAGGACACTCTTCTTCCTTCTCTACCCAAGTCCTCAATTTAGTGATGTCCCCCTGATCCTTTCAGTGTGGTAGTAGAGGTTGGCAGGAGAGGGGCAGGTTGCAAATGCCACCTCCATGAGCCTTCCCCAGCCTGACCCCCCACCCCTCAATCCCAGCTGGTCCCAGTGTGGGGGAGGGGGAACAGGTTATGTGGAAGTGATGCAAGCCACTCTTCTGGCAAGCTGTCGTGGGTTCAGGCACGTCTGGCCTGCACAAACAAGATAATGAAGCTGAAGGAAGCTTATGACCCCACGGCTGCCTGTGGGCATGCACAGATATCTCCGTGGCAGATGCTGTAGCACTTTCAGAAAAGTGTTGGGGCCAGGTGCGGTGGCTCATGCCTGTAATTCCAGCACTTTAGGAGGCCAAGGCAGGTGGATCACTTGAGGTCAGGAGTTCGAGACCAGCCTGGCCAACATGGTGAAACCCTGTCTCTACTAAAAATATAAAAATTAGTTGGGTACAGTAGCACATGCCTGTAATCCCATCTACTCGAGAGGCTGAGGCAGGAGAATCGCTTGAACCCGGGAGGCAGACGTTGCAGTGAAAAAAAAAAAAAAAAAGAAATAAAAAGAAATAAAAACTTGCCCTGAAGCCACAGAGCTGTAAGTGATCATTTACATTTGATCTTGGCCTCAATCTAGCCACCTGCCTTGGCCTCCCAAAGTGCTGGATTGCAGGCGTGCCACTGCACCTGACCTTGATCATTTGTATTTGAAACTTTTTTTTAACTTTTTAAAAATTTTGTTTAGATTCTATGTGGTTTTTACAAAAACTTAAATTTTTTTTGTTTAGATTCTATGTATTTTTAAATATTTCAATTTATTTATTTTGAGACCGAGTTATGAGACTGGCTGATTTTTGTATTTTTGGTAGACAGGGTTTCACCATATTGTCCTGGTCTTGAATTCCTGGGCTCAGCGGGTCCACCTGCCTCGGCCTCCCAAAGTGCTGGGATTACAGGCATGAACCATTGCACCCAGCCTGAGTTTGCAACTCTTGATTTCTCAACCCCTTGCTCAAAGTTTCACAGAGGAAGACCCCAGAGCCCAAGGGAGTCTCACTCTGTCACCCAGGCTGGAGTGCTGTGGTGTGTCTTAGCTCACTGCAACCTCTGCCTACCAGGTTCAAATGATTCTCCTGCCTCAGCCTCCCGAGTAACTGGAATTACAGGTGTGCATCACCACGCCCAGCTAATTTTTGTATTTTTAGTACAGGCAGGGTTGTACCATGTTGACCAAGCTGTTCTTGAACTCCTGACCTCAGGTGATCCACCCACCTCGGCCTCCCAGAGTGCTGGGATGACAGGCGTCAGCCACTACGCCCTAGCTGAAATAGATATTGAACTAGATTTTTCAGGAGGACTACATGAGAGGTGGAGAGACATTCTCAAACGTGCTCCATCTCTGTTGTCTTCTCACAGGAGTGGCATGCTGTGTGGATAATGAATGTCTCTCTCCAGCCCCTCTCAAGCTTTCTGTAGTTGCTGGTCCGCTGTGTATTGCTGCGAAGAAGCTCAAGGCTAGCCTGTATCATTTGGGGTCATGGCAGGAACTAGGTGCCACACTCAAACTGCGTAATTGAAGAGGGTTTAAATTGGGAGTTATTTACAAAGGTGTGGGCTGGTGTAGCTACCCGTATGCCCTCGACGTCACCTCTACATGGCAATAACCACTTATTGCTAATACCTGAGCCCCTCTCTCATTGCTGCGGGTATTTTCTAGCCATGCGAGCAAGCTCAGCCAGTTATGCTGAACAAACTAAGAGTGCCAGGAAGTTAATGTCCTGGAAGCATTGCCAGAGGGGAGGGGGCAGATAGATCCCCCAGCTTCCTCGCTCCTCAGTTGGGTTAAGGCTGTGACATACTCATCATCTCCATCCACCCAGGCATGGAGCTCCAGGTGCCCAGGGTGGTGACCTGCTCATGTTTCTTTTGTTGTTTTTTTATTTTTTTGAGACGGAGTCTTGCTCTGTCACCCAGGCTGGAGTGCCATGGTGCAATCTCAGCTCACCACAACCTCTGCCTCCTGGGTTCAAGTGATTTTCCTTCCTCAGCCTCCGGAGTAGCTGGGATTACAGGCGTGCACCCCCACGCCCTGCTAATTTTTGTATTTTTAGTAGTGACAGGGTTTCACCATATTGGCCAGGCTGGCCTCAAACTCCTGTTATATAGTAAGGGAGTTTAATCCACCTGCCTCGGCCTCCCAAAGTGCTGGGATCACAGGCATGAGCCACCGCACCTGGCCTCCACTTTCCTGTCTTATTTCTGCACCCACACCCTTCCATGTTTCCTCTTCCCAAATAAACTACTTGCATTCAAATCTTTGTCTCAGGGTCTGCTTCTGGGGAAACTGAACCTAGAGAGGAGAGTTTAAGGAAAGCAGCAAAGGGTAGTGTGGTACTCTGGGGCTGGTGAAAAAGGGAGCCACTGCCTTTCAAGAAAAAGGCAGGAGGCCAGGCACAGTGGCTCATGCCTGTAATCCCAGAACTTTGGGAGGCCAAGGTAGGTGGATCATTTGAGGTCAGGAGTTCAAGACCAGCCTGGCCAACATGGTGAAACCCCGTCTCTACTAAAAATACAAAAATTAGCCGGGCGTGGTGGCACGCACCTGCAATCCCAGCTACTTGGGAGGCTGAGACAGGAAAACCGCTTGAAACAGGGGCGGGGGACGGAGGTTGCAGTGTGTCCAGATCGCTCCACTTCACTTCAGCCTGGCGAAACTCCGTCTCAATAAATAAATAAATACATAACCTATAGCCGGGTGTTCTTTCCCACCGTCCTCACCTCCTCCCAGCTCCTTCCCCTTTCACCTGAGGTAACCACTCTTCTTGTATCTATGCTCATGTCTCCCTTGCGTGAAACTTTTTCCACCGATGCATGTGTCTAAACATGCAACTTTTGGTTTTGCATTACACATTCTAAAAGATGCACCGTTGTATGCGGTTTTCTGCATCTGAGTTTTTTCACTCAACGTTGTTTTTGAGACATTGTTTCTCTTGTTGTCTGGCTGAAACGTTTCCGTTGTTGTATGGCTGTTCATTCCGTTTCACTGCGGTCTAACGTTTCATGGTGTGAATATTCCGGTTTATTTGCCCACTCGTCCGTGGAGGGGCATTTGGGGGTGTTTCCAAAGTTCCTGTTATCGCGCCGGTGTGAACATTCTGCACAGGTCTCCGGCTGCGCCTGGGCGGGTTTCTTAAAGGCGAATGCCCAGATGGGGGCTCGTCTGTGT